ACAAGTCGCCACATGTTCCAACCCCCAACCTGGAGGGCCAGGAGACTGTGTCCGTCGGACCTCTACCCATGGACCAACCTGGTATGAGAGACTGTGAGCATCGTGCGGACACTCCCCAGTATAGCTCAATGGGTCGCTGAGGTACACAAACCACCACACCACGGTAGGGTCCAGCCTCTTCGTGACGGAATCACGATTAACGACAACAAAACCGTCACCGCTTCAAAAGCTATCTGCCTCCTAGGTTATGAATTTTCAAAGGGTGTCATAAGCCCGACCCTGAACGCACGGAGTGTAATCGCCAGTTACCTCCTCCGCATACTACCTTGGAAATGCAGCGCGTCGTCGGTATGTTCGTATACTATGCCCATTGGATATCTTCGTTTTCTGACAAAAAAATAAAGCACTCCCTCTACTTTTCGCTGTCGAATTAGCTTCGGAGAACCTAAAAAGCAAACTATAAAATGCTAGGATAATTGCAATGGACCATGACGAGCGTTTGGTTGTTGAAATCGATGCCCTCGATTTTGCTATAGCCGCATCCCTGAGCCAAAACCATCGACCAACGGCCTTTTTCTACAAGACATTCAACTCGGGCGAGATGACTCGAACGTCTGAAGTTCGAACCCGACCTCTGCCTCTCGACTTCCCCTGTCTAGGCTTGGGCAACCAGGCAGTATACCAGCCCTCGTGCAATCCTCGGGTGGCATGGTAGTTAGGCACCGACAGGGCGTTACAACTGAACGATTTTCAAAAGCACTCGATCTTTTCCCTTCGTTCCGCTGCTCCACAAACTAGGGTTTTATGGGATTTAAGGAGGAATCCTTTGCTGGATTACGACACTCCTATCAGATGGAACATTCTGAGTGAGTCAGCCCAGCCTACTCTTCTACAGCGGTATCCATTGAAGTTTCTCAAGGCTCGGTGTTAGGACCACCACTAATTCTGAACTTCCCGACTTCCAAGTCCACGTCTACCTCTTGCGGACGGCATGGAATTTCGAAGTACCAACGCCAGCGCCTTCCACATGAACGTGGACGCCACGAAGTAATATAGTGACCATATGGTCACGGACTTGCACCTTGCGTTGAACGAGGAAAATTGCATGCACCGGTCGTCCGGCGAAGACTCGGCAAACAACTTTGCCGTACAAGGTGAGAATGTGTCAGAAAACATTACGAAGACAAATACTAAAAGTGCACTTTTAGTAGAGCATGCTCTACTAAAACACGTCCTCTCCCCACAATGAAAAATCGGTTCAAAAGACTTTGTAGAACTATGTTCTACGGATGTTTCGGCTTCTAGATAGTCTTGAACATACGTCAGAACACTTCTTGAATACACCGAAGAAGTCGTCTGCTTAGGATGGAAGAAAAACAAACCTCCTAAATCCGCTGGTTACGAAACGCGTCTCGGAAATCGCTGCGTCCCATGGGACCTAATGCTAATTTATGCTTTGCCTCAACAAGGTTTGGCCGATAAGTTTTTCACCTTAGACCCAAATAACACAAGGCAAGAATGAGAGAAAACTTAAATCCGTGGGTCCGCGGACCTAGCAAATAACCCGACTATTGAAGGTCAACAGGTCCAGCTACATCATTCGCGGATTCACGTATTGACACACGGATCGAGGCTTTTGCCCGAGAGTTCGGGTCGGTTTTGTTGTTGTCGTTCCGCGGTTGTCATTCACCTGAAATGCACAAGTGAGGAAAAGTCATAGCACTGCTCTTTGAGTGCTCAGCTTGGTGCAGTATGCTTGCCAGCTCGAGGAATCGTGTAAATAATTGGCTAACAGTGCTTTGGACTCGGTTCTAGGAGCGTGGACAACCGTCGTAGGAAGGTTATTCCACGCAGCTACTCCTCGAAGTGAGAAAAATTTTGCCTAATGAGAGTGTGCGCTCTGAGTTTGAAAATCTAACCATGTCCCAGCCGTGTGTTTGTTGGGTCAATGGTGGAAAATCTGTTGGGCAAGCTTTGTTCAAACAGGGTACAGGTAATAAGTAGATCTCCTAGGGAGCGACGATATTCCACAGAAAATAGGTCAAGCACCGCGAGGCGCGTTTCGTAGTCCACGGATTTGAGGCCGGCAACCATTTTCGTAGCGGCTCGCTGGACACGCTCACTGAGGGTGGTGACTTTCGCGCGACCTGAGTAGACAACTTGGTTGGCGTATTCAGACTTCTGGATGCGTGAGAGTGTACGGAGAGCTCTCCAAAAGCTTCCGCACACAAAGCTGTGTCCGTCAGGGATGCCCACCCTCTCCATTCCTTTTCAACTTTGTGATCGATGAAATAATGGGTCTTCAAAACCTTGGTGTTCAAATAGCCTGTGAAGAAAATCTTGTCGATCTGGAATATGCAGACGACATCGTTCTCATTTTCGAAGAGGATGAAAAGGTGCCAGTATTCTTAAATGAACTGACCAAAGTCATCCCGTCCTCCGGTATGCACTTTGCACCCACAAAGTGTAAGGTCATGCCCGTGGACGTGCAGTCACTGAACACGCCACTTACGATCCAGGGAGAGGTACTGGAAGTTGTGGAGCGTTTTACGCATCTTGGAGGTTGTATTAGTTCTGATTGTAGTGTGACAGATGAGGTGAATGCGCGAATCTGCAAGGCTCGGGCCGCGTTTGCTAATTTGAGACACCTATGGCGTCAGAATGGTTTATCTCTGAATCTGAAGGGATGTGTGTATCAAGCTATAGTACGGGCTGTCTTGTTGCATGGCTGTGAGACTTGGCCTATTCGAGCAGCGGACCTGAGACGTCTTCAGGTGTTCGACACTCGTTGTCTCAGAAGCATGGCTCGTGTGGGTTGGTGTCGGCGAACCCGTGAGAAGGCAGTTAGAAAGCGTGTTTTCGGTTGTGTAACGGGTACTTCCATTGAAGAATGTGTCCAGCACCAGAAGCTGCGTTGGTTGGGACATGTGTTACGTATGCCGAACCATCGTTTGCCGAAGAGAGTGCTGTTTTCCATGCCCAAATCAGAGTGGCGTAAACAGAGAGGTGGCGGGGGAGTATGAAGGAGATCACGAAACGCTTGAGTGCTGTCGGTACTACTCGCCTTCCAGGGTGGGGACCGCGTGATCCTCACTGTGCCTGGTTGGAGACACTGCAAGATATGGCTGCCAACCGATGTCAGTGGCGTTCTTGTTGTCAGTTTCTGTCCAGATTGCCTGAGTGAATGTCTGGAGGTATAGACACCTCGGAAGTATTGTGTTAAGCTAGCACTAAGTCCCTTTCCCGTCCACCTTTACTCTTTTCTTTACAATAAGGCTTTCAAATAAGTCGTGTTGGTAGGGCAGTGAAGCATCGGTGTTGAACATTGATGTCATGCTGTCGATGATGGTGATGATGATTGGCGTATTCAAGTAGCGTTCGGACGTGTGCCCCATAGAATATTTTGAAGTTCATGCGGGTAATACGGGAGAAGGTGCACCGAATCGTCCATGAAATGGTTAATGCCTTCTGAGCCGATATCTAATCGTACGGTGAGAATAAAAAGTTTGAGGATAGCCAGAACATCTCGAAGGTCGTTGATGTATACCAGAAACAGCAGTGGTTCCAAAACGGAGCCTTGGAGAATTCCATTGGAAACCAGCGCTGAAGAAAAGTACGCGGAACCTACCTTCACTCAGAATGATCTGTCTGATAGGAGCGCCTAGATTCAGTGCATGATTTTCCCTCGAATCCGGTAAAACTCGAGTTTCTGGAGCAGATGGACGTGTGGGACCCCAGCAAATGTTTGTGAGGAGTCGAAAAATGTGGCGTCCGATAGAAGTCCCTCGTTCTTGGCTAGGGTTGGCCTGTCCATAAACACGAGCATGTTTGCCACGAAAAGACAGTTTGGGATACGTCCGTGTTGAGCTTGAGATATCATGTTGCTGGAAGTAATGTGATTTAGGATAGCTCGCTTCAGAACGCGTTCCACCACCTTGCTTCGCACGCCATGAGGCTTATAGGCCTGTAGCTGGCAGCAGATAGTCGATCACCAGGTTTGTAGATTGGCGTGACAATCTCTTCTTTCCAAGCAGAGGAGAGGCGGCCTTCGTCAAGCAACTGACGAAACACCATGTAGAAAAAATTAGTTGCCAGTGTAGACGATGTTTCCTTCAGGATCCTTGAATGGACCTCGTCAGGCCCCAACGCGCAGAATGGGTTGATCTGGTGCAAGAGTTGACGAATGTCCACATTCGTGAAGAACAGGTCGGTTAGAGGCTGGCTGTAGTTACACCTTGACAAGAGGGGATGTAACGAGGACATGCCCAGTGTTCTCTGTAAACCTCAGATACCAGTGTCGTGTCACTCGTGGGTTCTCCGCTCCTGTCTCTCAAGGAGGACGCGGGTGCTTATTTCTGCGGCGATGTCTCATGTATTTGAACAGCACATTTCTGTTCTTCCGGGCGAGGTCCAGAATGGTGACTTACCTTCATGTGCTCCATTGGCGGATTTCTGGTTTAGAGCGGTTCCTAATTTTACGAAGTGCCAGCTCATCTTCTGTATCTCCTGTAGTCAACTTTTTGAAAAAAGTTACGACCTCTTTTCCAGAAGACGCCGAATCCTTGTGAGCAGCCTGCGGCCCATCCGACTGCGTGCTGGTTTTTTGGGACGAACATCACATTTGGGGTTCGGGATCTCTGGCCCAAAGGCAGAAGAAATCAAAGGTCAGTACATGATTGTCGCTACGTCCCAGTGGAGCGTAGATTATTACCTGATCAACGAAGTGTCTAACGTTAGTATTGACCAAATCGAGGAGGGATGGTAGTTGGCCTGTGCGATGTCTGGTGGGTGCAACGACGCGTTGAGTCCAAGCACTCTGTTGAACGACTTCAGTCAGCGCCGCTGCAAAAAGCCCACTGGTCCCGACGTGCTGAAACCCCATCCAGAGGGCCTTTGAAACTTTGAGTTTACCTACTAGCAGGGGACGTGTGAAGTTGCTCAAGTGTTTCTATGAGGAATTGATCATCTTCAGGAGGGCTCGAGGGGCAAAGATGGACCACACCGAGAAGGGGAGAATCGGATCCGCTCAGCGGGATTGAAATCCTCGGTGCATCGCGAAATGGCGTACGTTTGATACCAAAGGGTCATTCGGAACGGGCATGGCAGCATGTAAGTATAAAGCAACCTCACCAGTCTTCCTTCGTTTTGAGTCATCTTGAAAAAGAAAGTAGCCGTCTATCGATATCTCCGCGGTCCGTGATGGTTGAGTAGAAACTGCAATCCGTGGTCACGATCAGTTGCGTTTGCGAATTTTCAGGAGCACAAAAGGCCGTAGCTTACAACACTTTGGCCATAATTTGGGAGTCGGTTGAACTGGCGCCAGGCGGAGACCCTTTTCGCAACTCTCCCTTGAGACTTTCCTCGCTCAGCTTTCGCGCCTTCATGGGGCAATCATCTGATAG